GCAGGAAAGTAAATGGTATTGAAACTGGTTAGATTTGGAAGTGCTTTCTAAGTACGTGACCAACAAAGGCTACTTTTTTTTTTTTGGTATTGTACAGTGTCTCACTTTGGGTTCATTCCTGCAGTTTGCATTCCTTCCCTACTTTATTTTCCATTAAAACAAAGCTTTGTATTTTAATGGACAGAGAAGACCCCCTTTAAGCCCTCAATTTCCCATTGCATTAGAAGGAACAAAAGAGCGTTTAATTTTTCTGAGAGATATGGAGCAAGAAAATAGCAGCAGACAAGCAGGTAAGTGCCTGCCACCTACCTGTGCAAGCAGAATATTTATAACTTCTTCGTTCTCATTCATTTCTTCTTTGGAGACATCCTCCTTGGAAAGGCTAGCAATTTCTTGTGCAATCTTTGTTTCACACTCCTGCCAGAGAAAAAGACCGGCTTGTAAAAGGACAGCTTCTCTAGTCACTCTATTCACTGTAAGAAAGATATTTTTGAACATATTATTTTTCAAATTCAGAATCAGCATCTCAGTCATCTTGAAAGTTTTCAGCAAGGCCTGTCCCTTTTCTGGGACATATGACAGTTTTAAAAAAATGCCTCTGAAGTTTGTTAACCTTGAATCTTCCAGTAATTCTTGGTTCTCCAGGACACATTGTTTTAAACATGTAATGAATACATGCTCTGTCAAAAATGGAAGTTTTTAATCATAGGTTTTGTTTTTTTTTCTGTAAACAGCTGTGAAGGAGTGTGAAGATCTTGCTGTCCCTAGGGAGAGCCAGCTAACCAGAAAATGCAATTGCTCCTCATCCATGTAAAGTTAAGATTAAAAAATCTGTAGTAAAAAGACTGAAACGTGGTTTGATCTAAGGGGGTGCCTCCACATTGTCACAAATCAGAGATCCATCATTTAGCTGATTGGCCAATAAATAGAAAAGTTACCCACCTGTCTCTTAGCTTCTCTTAGTTTCCTCTTAAGAGCTGTTAAAATTCTTTGCACCTCCCAGAGTCTCTCTTCTTTGGACAAGTCTTTTATCCCTGCCTGCAAGTCTCTGTGTAAACAGTTCAGTAGGAACTCCTACAAATATTGCCAAAGAAATTAGTGTCTTTAAGATATCACAGCAGGCCAGACTGAAAAGAAAAATCTTTTGGCTTTGTAGCAACAGGCTCAGAGTTCTGGTTTTCAAAGCTTGACACGTTGACCAACAACACGTGCTAACGCACATTTGGCACATGATCTAGAACTAGCTGAAGAGCAATATCAAAGAAACCACACTCTAACATGTTCTTGTAACCTTCCTCCAGTGACAAAACCATTGAACTGCCCAGCAAAGCAACCCACGAAAGCCACGGCTCTGATCATCAAAAGGCCGTAACGACTTTGCACACGTGAAACAGGCAAGAACATCACCACTCTCTTTGCAGTGGTTGCCACTGACAGGACAGTTGTGATAAAATCAAAGAGGATGTTACAAGCTTGTGAGAATTTGCTACTGCCTGTATAAAAGCTAGGGCAAAGACAAACAGAAAAACACTAAAGTAATGGCCAACCTGTCGCCTGATCTCTTCTTTGATGCTTTCTTGTGTTTCTGGAAGTGCTGGCATTGTTGCCATATTTGACCAGCGAAGAGGTTTTGTCACCTGCTTTAGGGTCACATTCCCAAAGAACTCTTGAACATGCGTAAAAAACACATACAGCACACGGTTGCTGATCTGTGAAGAGAAGACAAACAAAATATTGGTTAAGCTGATTTATTCACATCATCTTCCTCTGTGAAGCACAGAATCTTCTTCCAGAAACAGAACAGCCTTCAGTACGCCGTTTTGTCAGTCGCAGTCATGTTAGTTTGTCCAAAGAGATTAAAAATGATGATTTAAACAACCCAGTGCTGGCCTCAAGGAATCACTTTGCTCTCTCTCTTACCTGCGTATCTGAGGCATTTTCATGCTAAACTCAGAACTCTCACATGCCTTAACCTACCACAATTATTTCCACTCTGGTAGAGACAGAAATGTATTAAATCCTTCTTTTTACTCATGTGAAGGTAGTTAGTGACAGCAATAGGTAAGAGGGATCACCAACCAACTGCGCTATGGCCAGTTGCTGGCTACCTGCTCTCTCCTCCCCCAACCTGTAAGCGTTTTCTACAACTTCTCTCTCTCAGATAAATTAATATAAAAGAAAAAGTAGTTTGAAAGGAGCTGCTACTGTATTCCCTGTTTTAACGTGAAACAGAGGAAAGTATTTATTTTTTTTCTTCTATCTTCCATTAAAATTCAGAAATTTATCCTAAAAGAACAATTAGAGTTTTGTCACTACCTGCATTTTAATTGCTAAAGTCTACTTAACAAAACATGATTGCGCCTGCATTGTTTCACAGTTTCTTTTTTTGTTAGCAGAGAGCATCTGGCACAGCAAAATAGCCAAGGATAATACCCAGCCCTTTTGCTACTGGGCCTCCACCTAGACTTAATTAAAAAGCCAAGCTCTTCTGAAGTGCGGGTTTTCTTCTAGAAGGCCCACACCCAATAACTGATTGTTTCCACTATGCACAGGACTAACTCTGAGCTGTATTTAAATTAAATATTTCCAAGATGGTTATTAAGGAATTAATCAATCCACAAACCACAAAATCAGACTGGAAAACTAAGTCAGTTGTTTTTCCCCAGCCGTCTGACTGCAGACAGCAAAGCCATTACTGCATCACGAACATCTATTTGCAGGACAGGGTTCATTGGCTTGATACTAAAATTAAGCAACAATATAGTCACTGAATTATCACTGAACCAAAAGCCCACAGAAATGCTGTATCTGCATGAATTATTGGGCAAATTCAGCATTAAATTACTTCTCTTCACGACAGAATTAAAACCCTGACAGCAGGCTTTGTCATACTCTTATCATAACCCAAATATCAGGTGCACAGTACGAAAGCTCACATTCAGAAAGACTTTTGTTCCCTCCTTCCCAGCATTTTAGGTTCCTGAGGTACAAAGAGCAGCTGTAATTTAGCTTCACTGTATCAGACAATACCTGATTCCCACCTGCAAGAGAATTCCTACAAAGAAGTCCTTCTTGAGCTGAAGTTCTGCTGTAACACTTGCTGTGTGGTGTACGTACCTGGACAGTAGGGCTGAGCACTATGGAAATGTTCTGGATGTTCATTTTTGTTTCCAGTTCCTTTGCAATAACATGGTCCATATGCACAATCAGCCAAGAAATTAGGAGATGGTTACACTCTGGCAACTCTTTCAGCAGCCTCTGGCACTCCTGAACTTTCTCAGCTTCTGTGCTCTTTCCACAAGCATCTTCAAAGCGGGGCATTAGCTCTTTGGTAAGCAAATTTTCAGGCAGTTCTCGCAGGTACTGTTTCAGCAAGCTGGCTACTGTATTGGGCTCATATTCTTCCAGGTTGGGTGATTCTTCTCGATCATAGGCTGCTTTCAGCTCATCAACTTTTGATTTTATTCCTTAAAATATTTAGATCAAGAATTAAGAGAAAACTTGAACGGTAAATGTCTAATAGTTACTTTTTTTTTTTCTTTGAGATGCATTTATTTCACCTCTGCTTACAATTTAAGCTCACTGAGGAATACCTTTTAAAGGTTATCCACATGTAACAAAGTTAAAATCATGACTCAACATCAGGTGATCACTGCTTCTAAAAGCACTGACTACTACTATGAAGCAAAAACACAGCACTGCCGAAATTCCAAATCAGAACTGGCACAGCGTTCCCTTACATCAAGGTGCGTAGAAATAGGGTAAGGAGGGTAGGGAAGCATAAGATCACTTGTATATTTGCATTCAGCATCTTTCAGGCTGTTCAATTATACAGCCCTAAGCCAAGTAGCAAATATGTTATCAACTCAAATGTTGTGCAACAAGTTCTACCTGTAACAGCTTTCCTCTGTCAAAACAAAACCCACACTTCTAAGTTTCCAGATTTCCAGCTGGCCCTCCTCAGCAGAGGAGTCTTGCATAGGATTCTTGATTTGAGGCGCTGCGTGAATAAGTGTGTTCACACAATTATTCAACCCAGGCAAGATTTTCTGTAAGGTGTTTTTATAACTCCGTGACATTCCAATCTTCCCAAACTCAGGGGAAATCTCATTCTTAAAGCTCCGACACCCACTTGAGTTACACCAACTTAACGTGCTGCCGTGGCATGGCTCATACTCAGTAAAGCCACTCTGGGTGCGCTCAGCCCATGGCACATGCCAGGTAAAACATTTTGGTTTCACGTCCGAATGTGTGAGTGCGGCACCGCAACGGCTGGGAGGTTGTTAAGCCACTGCAATCGCCTCTCTGAGGAGAGGTCTCACAATTCCAACAGTCTTACGCACACAGGAGGGTGCTGTTGCACTGGAGAACGCCTAGAAAGTACAAACACCAAAAACGCTTTACAGAAAACACCTTCTTCCCTGAAAATTCCCAGCACTTCGTGTCTTGAAAAAACATGCAACCAGAACGTTCCACTAGGCAAGATGAAGAAACTGCGTAAGTTGCTGCGGTATTTCTGCATGCCTACCAGATACCATGCAGACCAGGAGCATGGAGACGGCCTAATGAAGCCTTTAAAATTGTTTGATTACTCTTTTACAGTGCTAGGCAACTTGTTTCAAATGCTTTTCCTCAAATTCCTTTTCTGACTTGCTCTTGCTCCCTTAGCCATACCCATGGAAGTACTTACACAAGTTGTATCGCAGATGCAGTTCACAAATAAAGGGACTCTCTTGTTTAACGTGACTAAAACCGATGCTGCATTTATGTAAGCTGGTGTTAACACAACCACCATGGCTAATTAGCCTGCTGTTGCTGAGTTTAAATAGTGGAACTTGTATTTTCTGCTTATTACTACGTTTGCTCAAAGAAAATAAGTTTTTAAGAAAAAAAACCCAAACATACAATGGAACTAGCTGGAAAAAAGCAACTTAGTGGGATGCTTAAGTAATAAAATGGTTATATCTCATCTTTGCTTTTTGCAATCAGCTAACACTGTATTTCTAATGCAGAAGTCAAAAAAAAATACAAGCTGGCCAGACTACCACATTTTATTCATCATTACCACCCTATTACAAAAGGCCAAAACAAGTGTATTTTTACTGCCATTAAGCAGTACCACTAGATTAGCAACTTTTCCAGAACTTCAGACCTACGGGTTTGCTTAACTTTAGCTACCTGATTGTCTTGTGGATAATTAAAATTAATGCAGTTATAAACAGAGTCTCAATGTGTTGAAAATGGCAAAATAACAAGAAAACGGCAAGGAAAGACCTTAAGAACCTGCACGTCAGTGTGCCCAGAGTACCTGAAACTCTGTAGATGCCTTCACATTTCATGCCATACTTCTCTACGTAATCTATACATTCACGGAAAACTGCTGGCAGGCGGATGCCATCGTACATCATGGTCCTGTCTACCGCATCGGACAAAGGAATGCCAAACACAGGTCTATGAGTTGGAACATCCGCTTGAGGTATCTCTGTCTCCTGAATTGGCTTCTTCTTTTTCTTCTTCTCTTTCCACTGTTTTACAACATCTGCTGCAGTTAAGTCTTTTGACTTCTTCTCCTTATGTTTGTCTTCCTTATGTTTGTCTTCCTTGTGTTTTTCATCTTTGGGCTTCTCTTTTATTTTAAAATCCTTTTCCTTTTTTTTGGAAAAGCTGGGTTTCTTGAAGACATGTATTCCCTTGGACCGCTTCAACTTTGAGGGACTTTCAGCTTCATCACCAGAACTGTCCTCTTGAAATGCAGCATAACCTTCCGCTATTAGGCAGAGGGGGAGAAGGCAAGAGGACAGCTGTGAGTCTGTTTAGTTTCCAGATATAATATTATAACAGGGAGAGAACAAGGAGTAATATGTAAGGAGGAGAGAGAAGCAGCAACATGAATTAAAACATAGCACCTGCCTGACTCTTTAGAAGGTTTTCTTTAGTTGTTACACAATTAAGTGGACAAGGATTAAATCAAGATTGCACTATCACATCAAAGATAAGCCACACAGCTCCTGAACAATCTAAACAGTTAATACTTTATATACTTACTCATAATGGCAATGTCCATCTTATGGGCTAGTTTCCCATCTAATAGTCAAGGAAATGCAAAATAAAAACAACTGTCTGGCAACTTCTCTATGTTCCTGTAATCAATAGTATAAGAGTCACTGTTAAGGATCATCTACTACATACACATAACTCTAACAATTAAGACCAAACTAAGCTTCAGCCACTTAACTCCCAAATCCCTTGCCAGAATATTATGAATTTTAAGATAAGTATGAAGTTAATAAAGTTTCAGCCTCAAATAAAATACCCAAAAAAGTAAAAAAAAACCACCACCACAACCACCAAACCCAATCATGCTCACTTTTCCACTAGATGAATAAACCAATACCTGTCAGTGAAGGTACGTATTTGCCTTAAAAAGCGTATGTGAGAGCTTCAAACGAGTCCACGGGCAGAGTACACTGTTTCAGCAGCAAAACACCCAAGTGCTGGTTAAATCATGCACCTGTGCTTTTATTAACTACGCCTCTGCAGCTAGCCCTGCTTATCCTTTAGGCAAGAACAATAAAATCTCTAAAGGTAGATTCCAAAAAAAAAAAAAACAACAAAAAGGCAACCCACAACCAAACCCAGCAACATACAAACCAACCCGACTTCCAAATCAATCATTGGGATTTTACATACGCAGCTTCCCATATAAGAAAAGTAAGCCTGAAACCTGGTCAACAAAGACGCCATTTCACATGCCGAATGAACCGGCCAGGTGCCCAAGGCAGCGGGCAGCAAGCTGTTGGTTCAACATGAAGCCCCCATTTATACCGATCCTTTAGCTCTTCCGCTGCCTACAGGCAGTGCCTCTGCCCGAGGGAGGAAGCACACTGACAGCCTTCAGGGCTCTTCCTGCGTGAAGAGTTTTGGGTGGTGGAAAATTACCCCCTTAGATTATAAGGGAGAGCATCGCAGATGAGATTATATGCTGTAATTTTTACAGGTGCAAGATCTTATGCAAAAGAACCAGGGGACATTCAGTCTTTTATTCTTCCAATTCTAAACTATTTTAAGCTGCAGAGTTTCTCAGCATTATTTCAGCACATCCAAGGAGCTGTCTTGTATTTTGAAGCCTCCTTGGCTACTCTGTAGAAAGTAGCTTTTAACAGTCAAATAAACGTAAGAAATGTATTAAAGCATGGAACTGCCATAAAATAATTACAGTTGTTTGACCAGCTCACCCTTCCCATCCTAGACTCTTCCCTAGGACTACCAAACCTGTGCTTTCATAGAAGACGAAGAAAGACCGTAGCACTGTTCCTGTCCATGTGAATTTTAATATAAAAATGCAAATGGTAACTGGAGCTCTCATCCTCCCAGTATACTGGCTATACCATCATTCACTCTTTTTGTAAACTAAAACCAGAAAGGGGTAAGGAAACCTGCAGTGCATAAACTAAGGATTCAAATCTCACTCTGATACGGAAAGAAGTGCTGTTGCACCAGCCACGGGATCAAGGAGGAGCACACGTCACCACTGTGTTTTGCGAGAATGAGATGGGGCTGGCACAGAGTTTCAAGACGGAGTTCACAGATGTAATTTCCGAGCAAAAAGCCAAATCTTCACCAGAGCCCCGAACGATCTGCCCTCAATCCTTCCTGCTGCGTAGCTGTAACAGCTCCCAGCCAAAGAGCGCGCGTTTCCCACACGCACACACGGAACAGCCAGCACAGGGGACCCAAGCTGGGAGGTTGACTTCACCAACAAACAGAACACCTGCGTTAGGTGTTTCAACACTCCGTGTTGCAACACAAACCTTGGTGGTGCTTCTAGATCTGTTGTAATGTAACACCAGCACATTACTGAAACTGGTATTTCTTGACTTCATGAGGAGACATGAAGGACCAAGTTAAATACAAAACAAGCCTATTTTAATTTGGCTCAGTAACGTAAGCCAACAAAGTTTAGAAATACATACTAATTACAGATTCACAGAGAATCTCCCACCCGTACTAGGAGGCTCAGAGTAGCCCAATTTTCTTTACCATACTTCTGGTAATAAAATTAGTGTATTCTTTTCACCAGTGATATAATATATTAAAAAAAAAAAAACAACTAAATTTATACAGAAGAAAAATTATCGAAAACACTTGACAAATCAGGTAATTTTAAATGTGGAAGGAAGTATTACCTACTGTTAGTAAATTGATATTTCTGTTCACTTTTTCCTCAAGGCTTCCAGTACTAATAGTCTGCATTTTCCCATCACTCTAATGTATGCCAATGACATTTTCCTGCACCTATAGACCAGTACTAATTTAATCTCCAATTCTACTGGCATAACGACTGCACTACCTGGCAGTCTCTTGCTCGGGATTCATTAAACCTTCCACCAGCATGCATTATTGATTGCCCTCATTGCAGTTATTTTAAATGTGATGCTGCAAATACAGTTCTTATCTTACTGAAAATTATGAAAGCCCCTTTTAAAAATTAAAAGAAAATAAAGATCCTGTGTTACTCTGAAAAGATCTAACTTACAGGCTTAAAAGCTTTCTCATGCACCGAAGCCACTGTTGCTATCAGTCTTCATACTTGGGAATACTTGTTTTCTGCACTCTCACAATGAAGCTATAAATTCATGCTATAGCATTTATTATTAACACAAGAGACTGCATTTATGTAGAACTGCAACTTATCAAACCTGCCTACCACAAGATCTATTTCGTGCATCAGGTCTCTAATTTAAGTCATTTACACCTCTACATCTGATTATTGCTCCCTGGGGAAATTTGCATGCATCTGTTATTAGTTCACTAAAGGAAAACATGGATCACTTTTTCATATGAAAGAATGAGTAGGTCAAACATGACCATATCAACTGAGATGCAATGCTAGCATTAGTTATCTAATTTCAATTTGTCAAAAGATTTGCCATCAACTTGTATACCATTTCTAACTAAAACAGTAAGACAGACATGGATGCATAATGAACTTGAGTAGATGGCTTCTATTTCCTTTCCTGACCCAGAAGACGTTATTATTAATATAAACTTCAAACTTTCAGATACTACCAACACTTAATTATCCAACTTTCAGTTAGACCAGATAATTTTTAATATACATTCAACCCACTGATATAAGCACAGCAGTCCCAGACAAATTCTGCATTCAGATTACTGTGCAGTCCTATACAAGGAGAACGAATGGAGTTGAAATGAAATTTGCCTTCCTTTATTTTAATTCAAAACAATTACTCACACTGAAAGGCGGACTTTTAAACTGTTTGCAAATAGTACTTTGCTAAATAAATACACAGCAGTGTATAGATATACAGAGTAATTCATCAGTATAACAGGATGTGGCAACACAGAAAGATAAAGCTTAATATGAAGAGCACTTAATGTGTATCATGGGTAGAAAATTCCAGTAACTTCTTATTCTGTAGACCTGAAAACTGTATTCAGAGCTTCTCCACACACCAGATCAGTTAAAAAATGGGGGTTTTGGGTTTTTTTACTGGTGACTTTGTAGGACGACAATGGCCTCCTTACAATTTCCAACAGACCTTCCCCTATAGACACGTAGCATCTGCCACTACTGTAGAACCCATCTCCATTAGTGCTCTGCACAGAAATGAAGGATCATAAGCAGAGAGACAACTTATCACACCACTGCTCTACCTGGAACTGCTGGGAATACTACTAGAGCTTCGCATGGTTGCCAAACGTCCATATTGATGATACATTCCTGAGCAGAAACTATTTTGGAGAAAAATCCCTTAAGATGACAGAACAGGCTGGTATTTTCCATCTGGTAGTATCTAGCAGAAAGCAGCAGATTGCTAGAACCCCACACAAGGCAAGCAACTCAGGGGAAGAAGAAGAAGGTTAACATCCAACTGAGGACCAAAGATTGTTTGGAGCAGGTCCTCAGGTTAATAGTAGGAATATCTCAGCCCTCATCTACATCTCAAAATAACATGTGGGAACCATCCCCCAGCTCAACACATTAGGGATTCAGTCTTCAAAAAGATTACCTGAAAAATTCAGAAGAGTTCATACCAATGATACTGCTGTCCTTTCACAAGACAGTTGAGTTTGCAATTCAACCAATCCTCCATTTTCTCAAGAATTATATAAAGAAAGTGAAAATTATTTAAAAAAAAAAATCCTAGCTACATATTGAACCCATCCTGTCCAACCATATGAACTTCAGAAGTAAAACGAATCATAGAATCATCTGGTTGGAAGAGAATAAGCAGAGTAAGATCTACTACACACAGACTCTCTGTCTACAGAAACTTTAATAGGTAGAATAGTTCTGTCTTTGAAATTATTTCTTATAACCTTTTTCTTTTGCATGAAACTGCATGTTTTATGACTTTATCAACATGTGATTACTGACAGGTGGTTAAACATTCATTTTTAAAAATCAATTACACTGGTCACTCTCTCAGATAAACCATTACTGCTTTAAAAGATCTACTTTTGCTTTTCTGCTACCACAGTACAAGTTCTTGCATGGATACGGGATGTTTTGAGTCAGAGAACAGATCTGAGTTAAAACTATCCCAGTAAAAATAAAATTAATTTTAATTTCTAATCTAACTCACTCTACAGCTAACCAACACTTCAGTCTATGACAGAGGATTCAAGAATAGAAATTAGTAGCTGAAACATTTTTCCAGCAGCTGACATTCCATGCAAAAACAACATTCCATTTAATTTTCTACCGTCTCCAAAACATTTTTAGCAGTTTTTCCCCAGGACAACTGCTGTGTATTATTAGATTATCACCATTAACATGAAAAATATCAAATCATTATAATAACCACACAGGAAAAAAGATACCTTGCTGGCATACATAAATGCTTTTTTATACAAGAAATAATACTGAAGCTAAGAGTACCTTACTCCCCCAAACAGGATTTGCCTGAAAAAATAAAATGAGTAACCTTGGGATATTTATCCTTCCCTCTCTCCACATACCCTCCTGCTCTTCAAGCATTTCTGAAGTTTACATTTAGAGTATTATCAAAACACCCCAAAATCTCTGTAAGATTAAAATTATATACAGTTACAGGAGCTTGAATGATGTTGTCATTAATTCACTAATATTAGAAGTTCAACAGACATTCACTCTGTCATAACTTAATGTCAACACTTGTCTTTTTCTCTTTGAAATGTTCAATTATATTTGTTTAAACCTCAAATTACATGACCATAGCAGGTTGTGTATTGTCCAAAATCAAAGCAGGTAGCTAGAAAAGTGAAAAGAATCCATCTGAACACATGCAACAAAGGTGGAAGGTGGAAGAAACTGAAGAATCAAAATACGGAAGGAATAACAAAAGGCAAAGCTGGATGGAATGGGAACTCCTGAACTGCAAAGAACCTTTGTCATTTACGTAAGTAAAATGTCTGTTCAGGGTATATTTCTGAAAATGACCGTTTCTGGACTGTACGAGATGTACCGAAAGCTTTGTGTGTAACTTACTCTTACATCTGACTGGCAATTATACGACACACTTACATTAGGGCTAAGAAATGCTGAATGCTTTTTACGTTACAGCTGCAAGAGATAATTTGATCCTTCTTATGTTTTGCATTTTTGTATTGAGGAATTTTCATACCTTTAAAGCTTCTTTTAAGTAACAAAAATCGCTTTACATCAGCTGTAAAACACGCTGTAATCTCTTGCAGAAGAAAGCAGTTACAGCACTAGTGTGCACAGACCTGCATGTATTTGCTGAAGAAGCATTTTTCCTCCTCAGCCTTCAGTTAGACTATCACCATGAGACATGCTGAATTGCACCACAAAGAAACCCACACTATATATATATATAGTGCTGATCTCTAACAATTCCAAACGTAGAGGTGTCTAATGCAGAGTTACAACAGAAAGCTGACTGGCAATGAGAAAAAAACCCAACTACTAATAGCCTGAATTTAGACCACCTATCCAATCAATGCTGAATTTTCATCACCAATCAAATAATCTGTATTAGGTTGATGTTGTTTACATTGGAGAAAAACCCTAAGGAATCACTTTTCTTAAAACCTGTAGGAATTTAAACTGTCCATTTTAACTTGAAGATAATACATTTTTGATTTACAATATTCTTTAGGCACAGTCTTTAGTCAAAATAACAACAGTCCTAAGTGATGGTAGAAACAAATCCTGCATTCCAGGAAATGGGTTTGCTTAAAAGCCGTGCAGTGGCAGCAAATTCTTAAAGAGTAATTATTTAAATACGTGCACATATATTACAAATAGTCTCCATATTCATCCTAACAGAATATTGTGTGCTGTCTCGTTATTTCTGATCTTCCAAATTTCACAGGTAAGAAGCAGCAAGGTACACTGACATCCAGAACTTCCAGGCATCAGAGATACAGGCATTGGGGAAGAGGAACATTATTTTGAAATTTCGCTAGAACAAATGTCAGTTAAAAAACTACTAGCATTTGGGCCATGATATGTAGGTTTCAGAGACTTGGACAGTGCGGATCTTTCTAGTACTGAGAGTGCTCAGTATCAGCTTAGTATTTCCAAGGGCTTTGTTCTTTCAGAATATGTAGAAAAATTCTATTGAAAAAAAAACTGTTTAATGTCTCCAAAATTTTCTGCACAATTCTAAATATGGGCAGTAAGATTCCTATTCAGTTTTTCTGGAGGAGGGATATGCTTTTTGAATGAAAACTTCTGTTCTGGACAATGTTACACTGACAAACAATGGATTCTGTAGTCAAAGCTTTACTTTCTTCTAACCTGTTCTCTGTCAGTTCTAGTAAATTCAGATCTCGATATTGGCTTGCACATTTCTAAACTCTGCTATAACACTTTGGCACTGCTGAGGGAAACTACATGAGCAGACTAAACTGAGAAGCTAGAGAAAAAAGGGATACAGATTGTGTTACTCCTCAAATAATGGTGCAGCATGCACATGAAAACTTGAGACGATACACAATGGCAAACTCTGAATACGGGAGACATAAGGGAAAAGGGTTAGTTGTTGAAACTGACTGTTCCAAATTTCCAAGTATAAATTTCAGGTCAACCTAACAGTTTTATTTTAGCTAGCATCTCAGCTACAATTTCAAAACCCATCTATTTGGAAATATTTGGAAACCTCCACTTAGTATACGAACAGATAATGAGATTAGAAGAAGCCCATGCCAGGCAATTACCAATGCATTGTTAAAGGTTTTGGTAAACATGTTTGTTAGTAATTCTGGGCACATGTTTGGCACCTGTATCTGCGCAACAAAAAACAAATCCTCTTTTTGGTTAAGGTGTGGATTTTTTTTGGAAGAGAAACAGGTTTTGCACAAAGCCTGTGTGTACAAGTTAACTTCCTTCGCACCTGAACAAGTGTGAAAAAACACTGGGAATACTAAGCAATTTTAAGAGAGAAAAAGAAATTATAAGCATGAAATAAGAGAAGCTGCCTACTCACTTCTTTTTTCTTTCTTCTTAAATTTTCCTTTCTTCTTCCCATGCTCCTTTTCATCATCAGATACTACATCTGGAGGCTCATGTAAACTGTCATGAGGTGGTGAAGGCTCACCGGTGCGGTACAATCCAGGGAATTTTGTAGGGCTGATTTCTTCAGAGCTGGGAGTACGAGCAAGACCTCCACTATGTTCTACCCGACGGTGTTCACTGGGGCTGCTAGTGGGAGGCAGGAAGCACTCGGTCATTCTGATTCCCTGATATCAAAGTGAAATCTTCCGCTACCTGTCCATCACACCTGCAGCAGGGGAAAACAAAAAGAAACCCCACACAGTTTTAAGCAATGGGTTTCAGAACACCTTGTTTAGAGCTCTGTCCTGAAAACACAAACAGCAATACTTTCTACAATCAATGTTCCAACTTATATCAAGACAGTAATATAACACCCAGTCCTAAGCTCAGTGTTTGCAGAATCTGTCCTTTAAATCCTAAGCCATATTAACATAATAAGAGAGCTGCTACTGTAGCCATTTCTACTTTAGAATATATAAACCATTACATATTATGTATCATAATATTTTAACATTTGAAATAATTCTTACAAAATTTGTAGGCAGCTTGCATACTGACTGATAATACCTACTATAAAATAGTTAGCTAACTTTAAATTTTTGACATAAAATAGATTCGTCTGGAAGCTTAAAAGTGTTTGTGAGCACTGCACTTAAGGCAAAGATCATTTTCATATTTACCAAGTGTATTTCATAGATGCAAATAACAACTTGCCTAGCCTGTTGCAATAAGGGGGTGGTGGTGAGGGGAAGAGTTAAAGCAAATCTATCTTCTAATTATGCTACTGTAAATTAAAGAAGGTAGAAAAAGAATGATTAAGTTTTTCTGGTATACAACAACTTCACATCTGAAAAGGCTATATCAGGTCATCCACACCCAGATGCTGGTATGTTGTTTGCTTGAGAGTCATGGACAAATAAAAGATAATATGAAAATTGCTGAAGGAAGCAAATACATAAATTCTCAGCAGTGGAACTTGTGAGCAAAAAGCTCTTCCTAGCACAGAAAAATTTCAGAAATTCCACGGAACAGACATGCTGTATGGGACATCATACCTCTGGAGTCCACTTTGCTGAATTTGGCCCTTTTGTGTCTAAATGGTCACCCTCAGATATGAGCCCCTCTTTCAAAGCATGAAAGGAAAACAGAAATAGAGCAAACCCTAGAAAGAAAAAGGAAAATCTATTTCCCACACCCATTGGTATACTTGGATGACAGGTTAAGTCATGGTTACATGCTAACCTTAATCCAACTTAAATCTGTGGTGCTGTGTTGGTGCTGAAAGGAAACTGATCTATTGGAAGACAAACACAAGAAAGAAAGATAATTTTTTTTTAAAGTTACATCAGTTCCACAGCCTGGCTCTCTAGGCAGCCATACAAGTGTCAGGACAAACACAAGGAAGGCTGAGAGATAAGGGAAGGTGCCCTTCACTGCAGACGTGAAGTGATAACGGTTGCAGTGTAGCCATGGCCTCAAAACCACAGAACTAAAACATGTTATAAGATTACCCACAAAAGCCATACTAAACCTATTTCCATAAGTATTTTAGTTATGACAAGAGTAAATCCACATATAATAGCTGTGGCTTCTGCACTACCCTTTGGACTCTGTAGTCACCTCTGGGGTACTCCTGCTATTTAATGCTGATGTATAGATTACAGTTAAGAAGAAAGTAGTCAACTCTGCTAAGTTAGGCAAACAACCATGGATACCCAATATTTTATAAAAATCTCATTCAAGGAAATAAATGATACATACTGGCTAAGCAGGAACTCCTGAACCATCACACAAACCAGATTATAACTCCTTATGCAAAAGCAAAAAGCCTCTTTAAAAGAGAATAGCATTAACATGAGGCACAGTCTTTTTTTCTTTGTCATGGTTGTTGAGTTTTGTTATATTTTTAATTGAGATCAAATACTTCGCTGCTATGCTAATTCGGTATCGTGTTTAAACAAGTAAATGGCATGCTCAAACAAGACGTTTTAGGAGAAATGTCCAGGTATCTAAAGCTTCAGACTTACAGATATCAAAAAAGGTCAAAACTTTCAATTATATAAGCATTTTCTTCACTCTGAGGGTGATGAAGCACTGAAACAGATTCCCCAGAGACGTTGTGGATGCCCCATCCCCGGAAGTGTTCCAGGCCAGGTTGGATGGGGCCTTGAGCAGCCTGATCTAGGAGAAGGTGTCCTGTCCATGGCAGAGGGGTTGGAACTAGATGATCTTTAAGGTTGCTTCCAACCCAAACCATTCTATGATTTTCAGTATTACCAACGACAGACTGGCAATACTATTGCATCTCATCTGAGTATCAGAATGATCTATAAAATTCTTGCACAGCACCTGTTTGCATTTCATCCACCAACCCCCTCCCCTCTGCCCTAAAAAAACAGAACCCAAAACACCCCACCAAAAGCTGCTAAGCAATAGGCAGTATTTCAACAGCAACTCCTGGAAGGAAGTTAAAAATATTACATATATATATTTTTTAAGCAAACAGGACAGCCACATCTACAAATCAGTCCACATCTAGAGTAGGCAAGACAGGCAAACGCATAGAGGGAAAGGACAATGTCATTGCAAAGGCACATAACCACCACCCTGGAAAATGAGGACACCCCATGTTTTGCCTCTGGAACCCAGCAGAGCTCCTAGGAAGAAGCCAGAGTTAGCCCATACCTTCCACAACACTCTTCAGCAGCATTACTCAACTCCTAGGGTCTTATTTACAGATTAGTAGAATACAGAAAAAGGTAAGATTGGAATTGTGCTTTGTGTCCAGCTAAGCGGGTTTTGGGGAAGGTGGTTGTTTTTTTCCTAAACTCTTATCCTTCCACTCTCTGTATGCAGAACACAGTGAAAATGTAATGTATGTACAAAACAAAGTATCTCACTACAGGAGATCACTCACAGAGTGCTTATGGAAATTAACAGTTACTCAGATCAGAATTTGAATAGGGCACAGCAAGACACAGAATTATGATGAGGAAAAAAATATTCATGAGGTCTTTTAATACTGTTCATTCTTTATCGTGGCTAAAGCAGAAACACTGACTAAAAATAATGGTGCATATTTGTAAATGCAAAAAATTAAGACTGCACTTACGTTTCATATTTTTTATTTTACAGCTTTAAGAAAGCATTACATTCCTATACGCGTAATTTCCTAGGCCTTTAAATAGGGGAGAAATTCCACAATGCTCAAACTATATCAAGACTTATCAGCAGAATCAGAGCCTTTAGGCCTATCGCAAAAACCTCTTCCACTTTTACTAATGGATGTTGAGGTACTATTGCCATACACATCTGCACCTTTCCTCCAGCTTTTACAAATTTTTGCTGCCAGCAATAAATGGTGAGACTGAAAAAAATCACAGATCATCCTCTCAGCATTTTCAGAAGGAACATTTGTAACAGGCTGACTCTTCTGCCAACTTCTCCCTCTCAGACTTGACCCTTTCTTCCCGATCTGTTACTGCTTCAGTCCTGCCTCTCCTCTGCAGCAGGCTCCTTGCTTCAAATTGCTTCTCTTCACCTCTGCAGTTCTCATCTGTCAGGAGATTTTAACAGCTTGCTACTGCCACGTGGGGAAGGTCGTACTACTCCCCCCATTAACACACACCCCCAATTCCAGTAGTGTGCTCTCCCCAGACCCCTTTGTGAGATGACTCGATCTGCTAGTGGCTTCGACAGGCTTCTGCAGCTGAGCTGGCTTGTGGAAGAGCTCAACAAGCACTAAAGATGGAAAGCAGAGGAGTGACAGAACCATGATGACAGAAGAGCCAGAGCCCTCTTTGAGCAGCTCTGTTTTGTCATACAGCACGCACAGCTTCATCTCCCCAGATTTCACTTCATTCTTAGTATTTTCCTCATAACTTCATAGATTTCATAGATTTCTAGGTTGGAAAAGACCTTAGAGATCATCGAGTCCAACCGTCCCTAATCCCCATTAAACCATATCGCTAAGTAGATCATCCACCCTATTCTTAAACACATCCAGGGATGGGGACTCAACCACCTCCCTGGGCAGCCTATTCCAGTGGCTGACAACTTCAAGCTTCGATTTCTTTACAACCCACTCCCACAGTTGCTGTCTGGATTGCTTTCTCTTTTTCACCTTCAGTATATCACATACGTGCTCTTCATCTGCTTTGGTCTCTGTGACCCAAGCTCAGTCTCTCACTTTCCCCTCCTCTTGTTCTTTATTCAGCTGGTACCTTACTTTCCTTCTGCACACAGCCTCCTTGCTGATAAAGTTCTTCCTCTTCTTCCTTTTTCTTTTATCTCGTTAGTTATCAGTTTCCACTTCTTCCGCTGCAGTCTTTTGTTTCCTCATGATTATCTACCTCATCTTCTCACCTTGAACCCATTTCTCCCACTGGCTCTCAGTGTCTCCTTAGTATTGCAAGAAGTCATCTTCCTTACCTCTCTACCAACAGCAGGCTCCTCCACTCCCACCAGTTCTCATTCACTTGACATTTGATTCTTCTTCACAGGAGCCACAAATGCTGTTACGTGACAGCATCAGAGACCTTCTTGCAGTTCAAGAACCTCCTCAGACCTAGCTACTCTTTTCAGTACTCTCAAAACGCAATTTCTTGAACCATCTTCCTGCTCAACATGGAGTCAAACCTTCAGAACAAATGAGTGTCAAAAATAAACAGCCTTCACTGAACATGTGCAGCATTGTGACTTTTCCTCTATCCCCCAAGGAAAGACTAAATTAAAAGAGATTTTAAAGCAGAAGGTATGTCCTTAAAATGAAAACTCCTAACCATCACATCACAGCCACCTTTCAAGACTAAGTACAGGAATGTCGGTTGGGGACAGATGCCTGCATGGGCAAAATAATGTGTTTTTCCTAGCCTCCCTTTTGAAAATAACTGAACTCTCTCCTAAAAAAATCAGCCTGAGCTACATATCTATTAAGAAAAAATTAATATTAAACAGCTGAGATTTGGAAAAACGGCAGAAAAATGAAGACAGAGAGACATGACAGCCAACTTTAATAGATGTCACTTATTCCAGTGTGTCATCTAAGTCGGCACAAACACATTAAAGAGAGGCACCGTTTTAAAGACCAAACTCGCAGCGCTCTCATTCAGTACCGAAGGCTCCATCATTTCTGTTTTGCACTGATTGTGTTGTGACTTTGTGCCTTGTAACCAATTGCAACAGCAGAAGCAAACTAGAGCAGGTGACTGCATGCACAGATGTTATTTTGTAAAGC